TTTTCCCAACGTCCGAACCACTCGTTTTAACGTTTTGATAACGAGTGTTTCAAATGTGTGGAGATGACAGCACTGATACACATGAGTTTCCAAAAAAGTTAAAAAAAAAATGTGACCTATCATTCCATAATCGTCGATAAATACGGCGAATAGAACAATTGGTCGTCACCAACTCGACATAAATGCAAAACATGTGCATTTTTACGAGTGCAATTGAGTGAACGAACGAGAATTGCACTATCGAAGCAAGAATCCAATGAGCGAAGGCATGAGCGAAGAATATATAGCGAAACTACAGTGGTAACGGTAATGGTCTATGGTAGTCGCGCGACGAGCCTGGGACTGAGGTTGGGAAAGTGTCGAAGCGTAGGCCCGGAGCACGGGTTACCAGCCGAGCCGTGAGGTCGGGATGCGATGTGCGAAAATGGCGAGATGATTGTCGATGCGATGATCACGAGTGGTAACGGTGCTGACTGAGGTGCTACAGTGATCTACACGTTGAGCAGGGATGCGAAGTAAGGAAAAGGGATTTTCCTTACACTACCCCCCCTCCTAAGGAGGTCCTCCTTACGAAAGCGTGTGGACATCTTTGAAGTTTCGGCTGCGCAGATATTCGGTGAGGACAGGGTGGTTTTCAATTCTGTCCAGGGGAACCCAGTTGTCCTCGGTAGGTGTACGGTCTTTCCAGCGGATCAGGAACTCGATCTTTCGGGCTCCTCGAGGGTCGCGAACTCTGTGGCTCAGGATTTTGTCGGGGGTGATGATTGGTTCGGTTGGCGGACGAGTCATGCTGGCTGGGTGATTTCCTGGGAGTTGGCTTGTGGATGGTACGTAAGGGCGAAGCAGGCTGACGTGGAACAAGGGGCTGACGTACCAGTCAGCAGAGAGGAGGAGGTGCGCGGTGACAGGTGTGATCATGTGGCTAATTCGAAATGGCCCACAGTATCGGGGGCGGAGTTTGGGAGTGATGGGCAGGCGGAGGTTTTGAGTGTCGAGTAAAACGAGGTCGTCGGGCTGATAAGTGACAGGTCTGCGGTGGCGGTCGGCGTTGCGTTTAGCGATGATGTTCGATTTTTTGATTGCTTCTGCTGCCCTGGTCCGTGCTGCTTGCAAAATCTCGGCGAATTGTTGTGCACGTGGAACGGGGTTGTCGGGATTTGGGGTCATGGGTACTGTGGGGTCTTGTCCGCAATTCAGGTAAAACGGTGACTGTTGGATCGTGGCGGATGGCGCGTTGTTGCATGCGAATTCGATGAGTGGCAGCTGCTGCTCCCACGTGTTTGGGTCGTCGCACGTGGCCCTAATGAGCTGCTCCATAGTCTGGTTTGTCCGTTCTGTCTGTCCGTCGGTTTCGGGGTGATACGATGAACTGAATTGTAGTCGCGTGCCGAACTGCTGCCACAGGTTCCGCCAGAAATTGATGGTAAACTTCGTGTCTCTGTCGCTGATGACCGATGCTGGTATCCCGTGCAGTCGAACGACGGTGGTGATGAAGAGTCGGGCTGTTTTCTCGGCTGTGATTGTTTTCTTGTAGGGCGAAGTGTGCCATTTTCGTCAGTCGATCGACGACGACCAGGATCGCGTCATTCCCACTCGCCCCGGCCGGTAACCCCGTGACGAAGTCCATCGTCACTTGCTGCCAAGCACGCTCTGGAGGTGGGATTGGTTGTAATTGTCCCGCCGGCCGCTTCCTGGTTGACTTCATGAGCTGGCAAGTGGGACACGATGCCACGTCTCGTTGCACGTCGGTCAACATTTCAGGCCAGTAATAGTACCGCTGAAGCTGCTGCCGTGTTTTCTCTACTCCGAAATGTCCCGAGGTAACTCCGTCGTGTGCCTCCTGTAACAGTAATTCCCGTAGTAGTGTGTACCCTGGTACCCAGATGCGGTCGGTTCCAGCTTTTACGTAATAGACTCCCTTGGCTACTGCGAATTGCTGCGAGTTTCCTCCTATGAAGAATGGGTCTGTTTGATATCCGTGGGTAAATAGTCATGTCAGTAGCGGACTGGTCTGGGCGAGTAGTATCGCATGGATCTGGGCAGTGGGGCGGGTCAGTGCGTCGGCGATATTGGAGGCTCCTTTTTTATAGGTGACCGTATAATGGAAGTTCGACTCGAGGAAGTCGAGCCATCGAATCTGTCGTGGGTTGAGGTGGGGCTGTGCACGGAGGTACTGTAGGGATCGATGGTCTGTCCATACTGTCACGTCTGCGCCGGTCAAGTAGCAGCGCCACACTTTGAATGCATGCACGATCGCGAGCATTTCGCGGTCGTGTATCGGGTAATTTCGCTCAGGCGGATGCAGTTTGCGTGATTCGTAGGCGATGGGTTGGAGGCCGTTGCCGAAGTCCTGTAACAGTACGGCTCCGATGGCGATGTCGCTCGCGTTTGTAACAACCTCGAAGGGGCGATGTGGGTCAGCGATGCGTAGGACGGGTGGTGAACAGAGAACAGTTTTCAGGGCAGAGAAGGCAGCATGCTCTTTCTCCCCCCACGTAAAAACGACCCCCTTACGCAGTAAATCTGTGAGCGGGGCTGTTAAGCGTGCCATGTCGGGGACGAACCGAGGGACGTAATTAACGAACCCTAAAAAACTCTGCAGCTCCGTGATGTTCGTCAGGGGATGCCACGCTTTTACGGTGTCCAGCTTCTTGGGGTCGATTTCAACTCCAGCCTCTGAAATAACGTGCCCTAAAAATTCTAGCTTATCCCGAAAAAACTCGCACTTGGAGCCCTTGGTGAGTAACCGATGTTCCTCTAAAATTTTAAACACTGCTTCGAGATCGACTAAGTGTTGCTGCTGGTCGCGACTATAAACGAGGATGTCGTCGAGGTAAACTATCACGCATTTATCTAAAAGTGGCCTAAACGCCTCGTTCATGGTCATCAGAAATGTGGCGGGCGCGTTGGTCAGCCCGAAAGGCATCACCGTGTACTCGAATGACCCGTACCTAGTCCTAAATGCTGTCTTGGCACAGTCCGATGGTTCGACCCGAATCTGATGGTAACCTCCTCGTAAGTCTATTTTCGAAAATACCCGTGCGGTTCGTAGCTGGTCGATCAGTTCGTCGGCGCGGGGGATGGGGTATCGCGATTTGACTGTTACCCTATTAAGCGCTCGGTAGTCGATGTGTGAGAATCAATGAACAGGAATGAAATGACTAAGTCAGAGTTGGGTACAAATACAACCCTAGAAAGCTGTACCCCATATGTACTACCCCACTATAGCCTACAAACATGCATCAGCTATGATAATCTGACACACCCCCATAGGCAAAGTGGGGGAGAACAAGGGGTCACAAGACCAGTCAAGCAAAGCAAAGCAAAGCAAGCTCAGGGTGGATCACAAAGTCACCACACAGTCCGAGCACAAGAGCAGGGCCAGAGGCCAGTTCACATGCAGGAGTACAGACATATATATAAAACTAGACAAGCAAGAGCAGGTATATATATATGTCACAGTACAAGTGAAGTCAAGAGGAGAGCAAGTGAGGCAAGACAGGCACAAGACCCAGCTGGGTGCAAAAGCGCTGATGGTCACAAGGCGCGAGTGCCTTGGTGAACACATCAGCAGTGTTGGCCTCAGAGGCCACGTACGCAAGTCGCAACTGACCACGCTGCTGCAGCTCACGAGCAAGGAAGTAGCGGAGAGCAATGTGCTTCGTTCTGTGCTCCAAGCGCTGCTCTCGACACAAGGCCAGCATGGCCTTGTTGTCTACGTACAGCACTGGAGGAGAACGAGGCGGCTCTCCAAGGTCAGTCAACAGGTAGGTGAGCCAGCGAAGCTCCTGTGCAGCCATGGCCCCGGCGTAGATCTCAGCCTCACAACTGGAGCCGAGAACCGAAGACGAGCGAGTAGACCGCCACGAGACAGAGCCGGAACCAAGGCTGAAGGTGTAACCCTGTGACGACCGCTGCGTAGCCTGGTCGTCAGCCCAAGAAGCGTCCGCGTGGCCGGTAAGGACCACTGGACTCCGCCCTCCAAGCACTAGCCCCATGCCCGACGTACTGCACAGGTAGCGCAATACCCTCTTCGCTGCAGCCATGTGCTCTGGTCTGTGTCTCCCAGGAGCAACATAGCGTGCAAGAATGCTCAGAGGGTATGCAAGGTCAGGTCGTGTGCAGGTCATCAGGTACATGAGGCAGCCAACAAGCTCTGCATACGGACCACTCGACTCTACGGACTCATCCGAAGGCAGAGCTGAGAGTGAGTGGCGAGTAGGCAGAGGAGTGGCCTGAGGCGAGGAGTACGTGAAGCCGAAGCGCTGAAGGACCTGCTGCACCATGTGTGAATGAGTCAAGGTAATGGTGCGGCGTGCTCTGTCCCGAGTGATCTGCAAGCCAAGGTAGCTGCGCAGTTCACCCAGGTCTGTGCACGTGTGTCTCTTCAGCAGCTCGGACTTCACGTAGGCGAGTCCAGCAGTGTCCGCTGTGGCAAAGACCAAGTCGTCGACGTACACGAGGATGTAGAACGGCGGCAGGGAAGTGTCGGTGCGAAGAAACAGCGACGGGTCAGCAGTAGAAGGAGCAAACCCAAGGGCCGCAAGCGTAGTCCTCAGTGTGTCGTGCCACTCACGCGGTGCCTGGCGGAGACCGTAGACTGGCCGTCAGAGGCTCCACTGGGTGCCAGGAGGGAAAGTCCCAGTGAAACCAGGTGGAAGGCGCAGCCAGATCTCCTCGTGCAGGCTACCCTGCAAGAACGCAGTGCTGAAGTCGAGAGAGTGAAGCTCGTAGTCGCGCTGAGCGGCTATGTGCAGCAGCACCCGAAGAGTAGTCATCTTCGGGGTGGGAGATAAGGTCTGAAAGTAGTCAACTCCCTGCCGCTGACTGAAGCCACGAGCAACGTACCGTGCCTTGAAGACAGGTGGAGAGCCCGGCGGCCGCTTCACCCTGAAGATCCACATGCCACTGACGATGTTCGCCCCAGGAGGGGGAACCGCGTCAACGTAGGTGCCTGTGGACTTCCAGGAAGCCATCTCTGCATCCATAGCTGCCTGCCACTAAGAGGAGTAGGGACCCTCTACGGCCTCCGCGTAAGAACGCGGAGTCGGGATGTCTAGTGCATCCGGGTCTCCCTCAGGGGCAAGCAGTACAGACGCGAGATGAGGTGAAGCAGCCGCTAGACACTGTAACTCCTCCTGCCTGTCCTCTAGGACGTCCGTGCCAAGAGCACACTCACCCCCGACGGACGGAGGACAGACAGACGCAGACTCAGCAACAAGACTAGCAGCGTAGTCGAGACGACAGCGAGCAGCAAAGTCGACGAGCTCAGCGACTAGAGCAGACGCAGCAAGGGACTCAAAAGAGGGGTCAGTGACAACAGTAGCAAGCAGACGCGTGACAGTAGGACTGGCAGCACGAAGAGAGTCCGACTCAGGGTCGGCAAGCGCAGGAAGAGAGGACTCAGGAGGAGAAGGCAAAGGGGCACGCAGAGGAGCAGTGGACGGACGCAAAGACATCCGGTGGGTGCCACGAACAGGAGGAGGACGGTGACGCGAACTGCAACCACTAGCGCGAGCAGCACGAACAGGCGACGCGGGACGAGACGCAGGCTCACGACGCTCAGCAAGACCTCCAGTAGGACCAGTGTAAGGAGAGGGAGCAGGCAGTGGAGAGGAAGGCTCCAGCAGGGACTGCGACTGGACAGGCGGTGGACCGTCTACTGGAGGCACAAAAACCAAGAACCTGCTGCAGGAGCGGAACGAAGTACGGCCGAGGCCGCACGGCAGCTCCAGACTCAGCAGGGACAGCACCAGCACCCTCAGCGACAGCACCAGCGCCACCCACACCTCCAGCGGCAGGACCAACAGCAGTAGGCTCAGCACCAACGCCCTCAGCAGTTCCAGCTCCAGGAGGACCCGCAGGTCCAGCAGCTCCGGGACCGGCTGCACCCGCACCCTCGACGGTCGAAGAAGCTCCAGCTCCAGCTCCAGCAGCACCTCCAGACTCAGCAGCACGCCTCCAGCGGCGAGCGAACCACTCGCGCAGCTCCTGTGGAGAGAGGGGCTCCCGGCGAGACGCAGCAGCAGGAGAAACCCCAGGTTCAGCAGCTCCAGACGCAGCACCCCCAGGCTCAGCAGCTCCCAGCTCAGCACCCCCAGGCTCAGCAGCTCCCGACCCTGCACCCCCAGACCCAGCACCTCCAGGCACAGCACCCCCCGGCTCAGCACCCTCAGGCTCCGCACCCTCCGCAGTAGCACCCTCAGGCCCAGCACCCCCAGCAGTAGCACCCCCAGGCTCAGCACCCCCGCGCACAGCACCCCCAGAGTCAGCACCCCCAGGCTCAGCACCCGCAGCAGCACCAGAGTCACCAGTAACCTCGACCGGGTCAACGGCGTCTACCTGGGACACACCTGAGGGGGCAGGAACCTGAGGGGGGAGGGGGTCTACCGGGGGGGGAACCGGCACAAGGAAGTCCGGGGGAGGGGGGAGGGAAGGAGTGCGGTAGGGGAAGAGACGGTAGAAGGGGACTGACTCGTCGAACGTGACGTCATGGGAGGACAGAACACGACGAGAGGAGGGGTGGTAAAACTGCCACCCTGGGGCGTCAGTGGGGAAGCCAAGGAAGACACAGGGAGCAGCACGAGGGGACAGCTTGTCCGCAGACAAGTCGCGGACAAACGCCCAAGATCCCCAGACACGGAACACAGACGCATCGCCAACCTTCCCCGTCCACAGCAAGGCTGGGGACATCGCAGGCCGAGAGACCCGGGGGTGAAGGTTGAGCTGATGCGCCGCGTACCTCACCGCAAACGGCCACAGAAAATGGGGGGCAGCCGCATGCATCATGGACGTACGAGCGACATCAATGACCATGCCAATGCGGCGCTCAGCAATCCCATTTTGCTGTGGTGAGTCCGGAAGCGTGAAGGTCTGGCGGATCCCCCGTGCACGACAGTAGTCTCGTAGAAGGCGAGAAGAGAACTCTCCGCCTCTGTCCGAGTGCAGACGCAGAACAGGAAAGTCCGAGCCGAAGCTCTTCCTGAGCTGGAGACGAGCCTCGCGGATCCAGTCGATCAGCACCTCAGTGACCGCACCCTTGCTGCGCAAGGGGAGGACTGTGGTGTAACGCGAGTAGTCGTCAACCACCAACAGGAAGTAGCGCTCGTGACCCTGCCCACGGACGGGGGCTGGGCCCCACACATCCATGTGAAGCGTCTGCAGGGGAGCCTCTGTCGGGGGGAAGTGGGAGGAGTGAGGAGTAGCCCGGAGGCGACCCTCGACACAGGGGACACAGGAAGGTCCTGGCCCGGAGGGGAGAGGAGGGAGAGACTGGGGAAGACCAGAGACAAGGACACGGGAAGCCATGCTCCGAAGACGGGGCAAGGAGGGGTGGCCAAGACGGTGGTGCCACAGGAGAGTCTCGTGAGACAGGAGGCGACAAGAACAGGGGGCAGACTCAGGACCTGACCGGGACGCAGCAGCAAGCACCTGACCTGACGCAGCCACCTGACCAGACGCAGGGACAGGAGGAGACTCAACGGTCAGGGTGTAGAGACTCGACCCCGGCGGACGCGAGAACGTGGCCAGGTGTCGGCCTGTGCGTGCCTCCGTGCAGTGGGTCACCCGCTGACTCGCAGGAGTGAACTGGTGAACCCCCACATCCTGCAGGTCCGCGCCACTCACCAAGTTCGTAGAGAACGAGGGAAGGTACAGACCAGACAGGGTGCCCGAAGGGGCAGCCGGACACGGGAGGACAGTGGAGAAGTGAGACAGGACAGGACCCCCAGAGGGGTCAGCAAGGGAGACTGCAACCGGCCGGCCGAGCGGCGTAAGGGTAGTGCGGTCTCGAAAGAAGGAGCGAGAAGCCCCGGAGTCAAGTGTGAAAGTGAGGGAGGACGAGGACGACGCAGTACCTGAGAGCGCAGTCTCACCAGTACCTGAGAGCGTAGACGCACTGGCGCCTAGAGCAGCAGCCTCACAAGCACCTAGCGTAGCAGTACCAATGCCCGGGTCGGGCTGGAAACACCGTTAACCCTCATTCTCCTCACTATAAGTCACAGCATACATAGCAGCAAGGATAGCATCAAAATCAAGATCAAAGATCGCTACACCAGCCCTAAGAAGCTCATCCCAGCGAGGGATCTCACTAGCCCCAGGGAACTGCTGACGCCAAGCGTCCGTCAGGCGGCCAAAGCAGCGCTGGGCGGCGTGGGCACCCCCACACTGCTCACCCGCGCGGTCGCCGGAACGAAGAACGTAGGTGCAGGGACCAGTACCCCCACCCCTCTGACGCCCAGCGTACCACTCACGAAGCTGCTGAGGCGGAGGGATGTCCCGCGAGCGCTGCTGCTGCTGCCGCTGCGAGCGCTGGCCACCACCACCGCCGCTACGCTGCTGGGTACCACCCCGACCAGCTCCACCTCCTCCACCACCACCGCCACCTCCGCTGCCGCCTCCACCGCCTCCACCTCCGCCGCCTCCACCTCCGCCGCTGCCTCCACCACCACCGCTGGCACCACCACCACCGTCTCCGCCGCTGCTGCCACCACCACCACCACCCCCGCCACTAGTCCCGCCGCCACCCCCACTCCCTCCGCCGCCACCGCCGCCACCGCCACCGCCCCCTCCAGCTCCACCCGCGCCCTTGCCCCCCTTGCCCTTGCTGGAGCGACGTCTCCCACTAGGGGCAGACGCCGCGCCGACCGACTCAAGACCAAGCAGGTCGGCGGCAGCAGCAGAGGCAACAGAGGGCAGCAAGGGGGAAGGAGAGCACCCCTCAAAGATGGGGGTGCGAGGGTCACCACGAGAAGCACCTACAGCGACTATGCTCTTCTCCGCTGCGAGGAGGGCCTTCTCGAGGAGGTCGACGGTGAGGGTGGTGGGACAGACTGCGAGAAAGTGGTCCTTGACGACGCGAAGGGAGTCAGGGAGGCGCGCGACTACGTAGTAGAGAGCGATGTACATGGGGGGGGGGTTCTTAGCGCAGAACTCAGCAGGAAGGGCGGCGCGGTAGCGAGTGTCACTAGTGCGGAGGTGTGTAATGAGGTCAGCGACAGTGGGAAAGGCAGAGAGGTCAGGAAAGAGGTATGGAAGCATGAGACGGCTCAGTGTAGCAGTGGCAGGGGAGGAGTAGCGCGCAACTACAGCGTCGTACAAGGTCTGAGCACTCTTGTACTGACTAAAGTGCGCGCGCTCAGAGGTAGGGAGGTGGCGACGCACAGCAAGACGTGCAGCAGCATCGCGGGTGGCCCACTGAGAGCGCACAGTGGGATCAGCATCAGCAGCAGGAGCAGGAGAGGCGCCAGAGGTAAGGTCAAAGAGAGAGAGGCCGTCTGCCCTATCGCACTGTAAAAACAACTGCAGGTCGTCTACCCAGACCTCAAAGTCAATGGCTCGACCCTCAGCGTCAAAAGCTAGGACACTAGGGGTAGCCATGACGACGACAGCGAAGTAGTGCAAGTGCGACTGTGCTCACCAGGCAGGGCAGGCCGGGCAACTCTGCAGAAGGGCGGCTCGGCGACTCAGTGACTCGGCTGCTGGGCGGCTCGGCTCCCGGGCGGCTCGGCGGCAGGGCGGCTCGGGTGCAGGGCGGCTCGGCGGCAAGGCGGCTCGGGTGCAGGGCGGCTCGGCTCCTGGGCGGCTCGGCGGCAGGGCGGCTCGGGTGCAGAGCGGCTCGGCTCCCGGGCGGCTCGGCGGCAGGGCGGCTCGGGTGCAGGACGGGGCCGGGACAGGGGACGGCGGGGCCGACTGGTGCAGTGGCGGGGCCGTCAGGGTGCAGCGGCGGGGCCGTGACAGGGGACGGCGGGGCCGTCAGGGTGCAGCGGCGGGGCCGGCAGGGTGCAGCGGCGGGGCCGGGACAGGGGACGGCGGGGCCGTCAGGGTGCAGCGGCGGGGCCGACTGGTGCAGTGGCGAGGCCGTCAGGGTGCAGCGGCGGGGCCGTGACAGGGGACGGCGGGGCCGTGACAGGGGACGGCGGGGCCGTCAGGGTGCAGCGGCGGGGCCGACAGAGGTGCAGCGGCGGGGCCGGCAGGGTGCAGCGGCGGGGCCGGGACAGGGGACGGCGGGGCCGTCAGGGTGCAGCGGCGGGGCCGACAGGTGCAGTGGCGGGGCCGTCAGGTTGCAACGGCGGGGCCGAGAGTAGGGGACGGCGGGGCCGTCAAAAGAGGACGGCGGGGCCGTCAGGTGACGGGGCCCGCTGCAGCGACGAAGAGGCCGCGCGGCCGGCGTGAGGGCGGTGGGGCGCAGCAGAGCCGAGAGGGCGGCGCGGCGCGGCCGTAAGGCCAGCGCGACGTGGGGCCCGGGCCGCGCGCGCGAAAAAAAAGAGTCGCGCGCGCGACTCGCGGGGCGCCACAAGGGCAGCGCGACAAGCACTAGGGGGGAGCGCGCCTCGGGGAGAATAGGGCGCGCTCCGGGCAGGAAAAAAAATCGTGGGTGGGCCCTTAAAAAAAACGGTCCTTAGGAAGGACCCGCTCTATACCATGTGAGAATCAATGAACAGGAATGAAATGACTAAGTCAGAGTTGGGTACAAATACAACCCTAGAAAGCTGTACCCCATATGTGCTACCCCACTATAGCCTACAAACATGCATCAGCTATGATAATCTGACACGATGCACATGCGAAACCCTCCGTCTTTTTTCAGTGTGAACAGTATCGGTGCGGCGAACGGTGACGAGCTCGGTCGGATAAACTTTTTCTCTAACAGATAATCTAACTGCTTCCTTAGTTCGTCGAGCTCGGGCTGTGTCTGACGCTGTACAGTTGGCTGTGCCCCCGGTTCTAACTCGATCCTATGGTCATGCGCTCGCTGAGGTGGCAGCCCTTGTGGTAAGTCATCCGGAAAGATACCCGGGAATCGTTTCAGTAGTGCCTGAAGTTCGGGTGGTACAGCTGCCAACAGTTTCTGAAAATCGCTCGGCTGCTCCTCTTCTCCCACTAATGCTATACCCACTGTGTACACGTCAGCTCCAGCAGCAACAACCCGTTTCATCGTGATGGCGTTGACCTGGACCGTCGAAGACTCGGGTGGCTGCCAGCGAGGTAGGACGACCCAGTTACCACTACTTCGCACTGTGCAGCTACCCGTCGTCCAGTCAATTCGCGGGTCATACCGTCGCAGCCAATCACGTCCCAGTAAAATGTCGTGCCCATCCAGTGTCGTTGGGAGCATTTCCTGTGTAAACCCGAAGTTCCCTCCGCAACGGACTTTTACTCGCTCCACCTTTTCCCGTATGGCTTGTGGCGTTCCGTCGACTAAGCGTGCATCTATCTCAGGTAAGCATCGGTTAAGTGTTAACTGTAATTTCCGTGCGGTTGCGGTATTAACTAAGCTGTGACTTGCTCCCCCGTCAATAAATATCTTCACTGCTTCTCCCTGTATTTTCCCGTAGATCAGTACCGGGCAATCCGTCGCTGTACCCTCCTTATTCATCCGAGCCTGATCGATGGCGTGAATCGGTACTGTGACTCGGTGAGGGTCGTGAGAAAGTGTGAACGAGAATGAGATGACTATGAAGTGAAGTGAATACAAATAGGAAACCCTAATTGTGTTGTACCCCCTATGGGATACCCCACTATAGCCTACACAAACAAGTAAGCTATATGTTCTGACACACCCCCATAGGCAAAGTGGGGGAGAACAAGGGGTCACAAGACCAGTCAAGCAAAGCAAAGCAAAGCTCAGGGTGGATCACAAAGTCACCACGCATTCCGAGCACAAGTTCAAAGGCCACAAGGCCAGTTCACATGCAAGATCATATATAGAGGTATACAAGAGTCAAGTAAGCAAGAGCAAGAGTATATATATGCGAAGGTACAAGCAAGGTCAAGAGGAGAGCAAGTGAGACAAGACAGTCACAAGACCCAACTGCGTGCAGCAACGCTGCTGATCACAAGGCGCAAGTGCCTTGGTGAAGACATCAGCAGTGTTGGCCTCAGAGGCCACGTACGCAAGTCGCAACTGACCACGCTGCTGTAGCTCACGAGCAAGAAAGTAGCGGAGAGCAATGTGCTTCGTTCTGTGCTCCAGTCGCTGCTCTCGACACAAGGCCAGCATGGCCTTGTTGTCTACGTACAGGACTGGAGGAGAACGAGGCTGCTCTCCAAGGTCGGTCAGCAGGTAGGAGAGCCAGCGTAACTCCTGTGCAGCCATAGCCCCAGCGTAGATCTCAGCCTCACAACTGGAGCTGAGAACAGAAGATGAGCGGGTAGCCCGCCACGAGACAGAGCCGGAACCAAGGCTGAAGGTGTAACCCTGTGACGACCGCTGCGTAGCCTGGTCGTCAGCCCAAGAAGCGTCTGCGTGCCCAGTGAGGACCACTGGACTGCGCCCTCCAAGCACTAGCCCCATGCCCGACGTACTGCACAAGTAGCGCAACACCCTCTTCGCTGCAGCCATGTGCTCTGGTCGGTGTCTCCCAGGAGCAACAAAGCGTGCGAGAATGCTAAGAGGGTATGCGAGGTCAGGTCGTGTGCAGGTCATCAGGTACATGAGGCAGCCAACAAGCTCTGCAAACGGGCCACTCGACTCTACGGACTCATCCGAAGGCAGAGCTGAGAGCGAGTGGCGAGTAGGCAGAGGAGTGGCCTGAGGCGAGGAGTACGTGAAGCCGAAGCGCTGAAAGACCTGCTGCACCATGTGTGACTGAGTCAGGGTAATGGTGCGGCGTGCTCTGTCCCGGGTGATCTGCAAGCCAAGGTAGCTGCGCAGTTCACCCAGGTTAGTGCACGTGTGTCTCTTCTGCAGCTCGGACTTCACGTAGGCGAGTCCAGCAGTGTCAGCTGTGGCAAAGACCAAGTCGTCGACGTACACGAGGATGTAGAACGGCGGTAGAGAGGTGTCGGTGCGCAGAAACAGCGACGGGTCGGCAGTAGAAGGAGCAAACCCAAGTGCCGCGAGCGTAGTCCTCAGTGTGTCGTGCCACTCACGTGGCGCCTGGCGGAGACCGTAGACTGGACGCCGGAGACTCCACTGGGTACCAGGAGGGAAAGACCCAGTGAAGCCAGGTGGGCGACGCAGCCAGATCTCCTCGTGCAGGCTGCCCTGCAAGAAAGCTTTGCTGAAGTCGAGAGAGTGCAGCTCGTAGTCACGGTGAGCAGCAACGTGCAGCAGAACCCGAAGAGTGGTCATCTTCGGGGTGGGGGAGAAGGTCTGAAAGTAGTCAACCCCCTGCCGCTGACTGAAGCCACGAGCCACGTAACGCGCCTTGAAGACAGGCGGAGAACCCGGCGGTCGCTTCACCCTGAAAATCCACATGCCACTGACGATGTTCGCCCCAGGAGGGGGAACAGCGTCAACGTAGGTGCCTGTGGACTTCCAGGAAGCCATCTCTGCATCCATAGCTGCCTGCCACTGAGAGGAGTAGGGACCCTCTATCGCCTTCGCGTAAGAGCGCGGAGTCGGGATGTCTGGTGCATCCGGGTCTCCCTCAGGGGCTAGCAGTACAGACGCGAGACGAGGTGAAGCGGTGGCCAGACACTGGAACTCCTCCTGCCTGTCCTCAAGGACGTCCGTGCCAAGGGCACACTCACCCCCGACGGACGGAGGACAGGCGGACTCAGACTCAGTGACAAGACGAGCAGCGTAGTCTAGACGACAGCGCGCAGCAAAGTCGACAAGCTCAATGACAAGGGCAGACGCAGCAGACGACTCGAAGGAAGGGTCAGTGACAGTAGTAGCAAGGAGACGCGTGACAGTAGGACTGGCAGCACGAAGAGAGTCCGACTCCGGGTCGGCAAGAGCAGGAAGAGAGGAAGCAAGAGGAGAAGGCAAAGGGGCACGCAAAGGAGCAGTGGACGGACGCAGTGACATCCGGTGCGTGCCAGGGACAGGAGGAGGACGCTGACGCGACCCGCGACCACTAGCGCGCTCAGTACGAACAGGCGACACAGGACGAGACGCAGGCTCACGACGCTCAGTAAGACCTCCAGTCGGACCAGCGTAGGGAGAAGGAGCAGGCAAAGGGGAGGCAGGCTGTAGCTGTGGCTGTGACTGGACAGGCTGCGGACCCTCTAAGGGAGGAGGAGGAGGTGTAAGACCAAGAACCTGCTGCAGGAGCGGAACGAAGTACGGTCGGGGCCGCGCGGCGACGCTAGAAACAGCAGGAACAGCACCAGCAGCCCCGGCAGGAGCACCCACTCCAGCAGCACCTCCAGCAGCACCACCAGAAGCACCAGAACCTCTAGCAGCAGCACCAGGAGCACCGTCAGTCGGACCGCCAACGGCAGGCTCAGCGCCAACTCCCTCAGCAGTACCAGCTCCAGGAGAACTCTCAGACCCAGCAGCTCCAGCACCCACAGCACGAGCACCGGCAGGACGCGCGGCAGCAGTACCCTCTGCAGCCGAAGAACCACCAGCACCAGCAGCACGCCTCCAGCGCCTGGCAAACCACTCACGCAGCTCCTGTGGGGAGAGTGGCTCCCGGCGAGACGAA